ATGTGTCCAAATGTTCACATAACAATAGAAATTCATTCATATTTTCAGTTTGATCATCACTGAGTTGATTGATATCATATTGCATCTTTCTTGCTTGTTCGGACAAGCTGGCTAATTCATCTCTGATGGTAAATAGTTTGTGGCTTTTGTCATCTATGGACTTTCCCACAAGTTGCATTTTTTCAAACACTCTGTTAATAAGAATCTGTGTTCGATTGTCCATATTGGACGTTTCTTGAGAGAAAATCTGCAAGAGAGTTATCAATTCCTTTAATATGTTCTATTTTAAAATAATAGAATGATAATAAAATAAGTCACCTATGCAATCTCCTGTATTGCGGTTCTGATAGAAGTTTGTTTGAGATTAATCCTGATACCTGTGTGTTATCAGTTCTAATAACAAATTGCTTTGGTAAAAGGAAAGCTGAAATTTTTCTTATTCCTCTAACAATGGCTAATAATTCCTTTTCATTAGTGGAATATCTCGTTTCTGCTTCATTAAATGTACCACTTGTGTACCTACAAATTTCATTTAAATCGGTTTGCAATAATGCTCCCCAATGATAGTCAGAAGCATCTTTTTGTAATACCAAATTTATCATTTTCTTCTGGTAATCTAAGTTTTGGTAACTTAGAGCATTCTTCTTTTAATTTTTTGATGCACTGAGTGTGCTCTTCAGTCCATCCAAGTCTATTGGATTTTCTTATTAATTTTTGCAGGATATTTCTCTTTTTTGCTAGATCTAGAATAAATTTTCCTGCATAATTGAGACATCCTAAAAATCGCTATATTTCTTGTTTAGTTGTTAATTTGTCAGGAAATTCTACAAAAAAAATTTAAGATGTGTGCTTGTAATTCTATTCCATTTTTGAAATAATCATTCCTAGAAATTCTATTTCATTTTTGTTTATTTCTGTCTTTTTCTGACTTAGAATAATTCCATTTTTGACACATATTTCTGAAAATTCTTTCATATGTGTTAAATGTTCTTGATATGTGTTCTCACATATTAGTATATCATCTATATAGATGATTAAAAATTCTTTTTCAGAAAATATCTTGTCCATCTTTCTTTGAAAGATTTGAGGGGCATTTTTTAATCCAAAAGGCATTATCATCCATTTGTAGTGTCCATTGGGCGTACTGAACGCTGTCAACGGTATGGATTCTTCTGTTAATTTTATTTGCCAAAATCCACTTTTACAGTCAAATTTTGAAAAATAAGTTTTTCCTTTGGCAAGGTTTATAAGATTATTTTTATTTGGGATAAAATATCCATCAAATATGCAATTTTTATTTAGCTCTTTATAGTTTATGACCATTTGAGTTTTTCCTTTTTTTATTTCAGCATGGTTTCTTACCATAAACGTTGGACTGCTATGAGGACTTTTACTCATCCTAATAAGTTTTAGGTTGATTAATTCTTTACGTTGAGTTTTAAACTCAATTCTATCATCTTCATTATAGAGCATGGGTTTTACTCTAATGATGATACTTGCGTCTTTGAGTATTAAAGTGGCCTTTTCTTGATTTTTTTCCCATTTTTCTAAAGGATTTTCGCCATAAGGTTTTGAAAATTTTCTTTAATTTGTTCTAGATTGAGACATTTACAAGAGATTTTCCTTAGATTTTCTTATAATTTCCATTTTCTTTTTCAAGCATATAAGGATTTTATTTTCTTGGGACTTTGATAAAATGTCCGCAAGGGGTTTTGAGACTTATCATATATAATGTCTGATGATAATCTTGAAATTGTTGGAGAAAATCATTTCCTAATAACAAATCAGTTTCTAATTTGTCATAGGCAAATATTTTGTTTATAGAAACAATTTTTTATCCTAAAATTATTTCTACCTTTTCTTTTGACCGTGATAGTAGTTCTTTGACACCTGTAATACCAATCATCGATATGTTGTTTTTATCGATATCCCAATTTTTTATTAAAAAGGTTTTTGCTAAACTAGCTTCTGAACCATTATCAATTTGACAACAAGTTGTTAATTTAGTATCATAGAAAGTTATTTCTATAAAGACTGATACCCTAAAAGATGTTTCTTTGGGCATTTTTAGATTATTGGTAAGAAACAAATTTCATTTTTGTAACTCATTTCTATTCCATTTTTCCCTATGATGTAGTCGTTTAGACTATTAAGGAATAGATTTCCTAAGATTAGGTTGTGATCACTTTCGTGATTTGTAATATAATAAGGGACTGTTATTCTTATTGTATCTAGTTGTATTGATAAATCTACCATATTTATATAACTAAAGTTATTTCCTTCAAAGGTTTTATAGATATAAGGGGTACCTTTGTAGATTGGTAAACCATCTAATATAGTACCTTTGACATGATTAGCCGTTGCTCCTGTTTGTAACAAGATTTCTTGTTTTTTTCCATTCAGATCTGTTAAAGACTCTTCTTGCAATTCTAGTAATGTTAGAGGTTTCAAGAATCTTTTTGCAATACCTATGGGATGTGCTTTTCTTTATTGAATTTCTTCTATATTCTAATGAAAGTCTTGGATTGTTACTAGAACTTCCTATTTCTTGTGTTTTTCCAAATCGAATTTCATATTCTTCTGGAATTTGTGCTTGTTGAATTTTTGCTTCAACGATTCTTGCTATTCCCTTACATTCCTGATCTATTTCGATCATTTCTTTGTTTTTGTACACACTACCATAATTGGAGTTTGTAACTGTATATAGAGCTTGGTAATAAATGCTCATGATGTGATTACCTGGTTTAAATAGGTCTTTTTTTTTTACCTGAAAATGTAAGCTTAACGCATCATTAAAGTCTGCATCCTTAAGTGAAATACAGTACTTGGGATAATACGTAAATAGAGGCTTAGTATAGGCTAAGTTACCTTCAATTATGCCAAGGTTTCCCTTTCTGGCATTTATGAATCTTTCATCTGAAAGGTTAACGACAATAGGGCAACTGATCCCTTCTTTAAAAGTTGATTTAACTAAAATTTGGATTCCTCCTAAATGGACATAATTCATTTTCTTCCTTTTTATTTCAGGAATTTTTTAGACGATCTGTTCGATCATTGACTTAGTTAAAAGATTTAACTTATCCTTCTTGTTGTTTGGGTAATTTCTATTACCTTTTCCATCTCTTGATATTCATGATAGGAAATTTTGTTTCTTGCAAACATTGTTTGCATTCTGTTGAATATATTATCTTCAGTTTTGAGATTAAGTTGTAATCCTTGGATTTTCTTTAATAATTCTCCATCGAATATTGCTTTTAGGGGGTATCCCCTTTGATCCTCTTCAGTTTCTATATTTTGTATTGAATTGTCTTTTTCCCTTTGTATTTCTTGATTCATTTAATCAGATTCTTCTGAGTTGGTTGAATATTCTTCATATAATTCTTCATAGTAGTCATTACTTTTTATTGACGTTACAGATTCTAGATCTGAATCAATTTCTTGTCTATCAATTTTTGATATTTTTACTCTTTTTTTGTTACATTTGTAACTTTTGTGTCCTTCTTCACCACAGTTGTAACATTTACATTTTTCTGTTGTTCTTTTAAAATTATTTTTTCTTTTGTAATACCGTTTTTTAGGTACATAATTTTTTCTTGAAATACTTTTTCTTTTGATTAATCCTTTTGGTTCTTTCTTCATTTTTTATAGGATCTATCATTACATCCCCATTGGGTTGCAGCATTAGTATCTATGCAATATATTTGGGTGTTTATTCTTTTAGCTTTTCTTTGTATGTTATGAGCCATACAAAGTTGTCCAAGCCTATTACTTAGGAAAGATATTCTTTGTCCTAGAGTATCTCCTTCAATGTTTTCTTTTTCATATTCTTCTCAAAAATATTTAGCCTAAAAGCCTGGTAATTTTTGAAAATATTTTTCAAGGTATGGTAGCATTTCTTTACTACTATCAAATATTTTGTAGTAATATTCTTCGAATTAACATGTGTATTCTTGAATATAGCTCATTTTGCAAATTTGTAATTTTTCTAATTGTTCTTTTGCTATTATTCTTAATTTTTCCCTATTTTGTGATGCACTTCCTTCACCACCAAGGAATTCATTTCCTACGAACAGTACAAGGGCTCTTATCCCTTCTTGAATGGATTTTTTGAATCCTTCTATGGTATGATTTTTGATGATTCCTTTCGCATCATCTGACAATTTGGTATGCCAATTACTTACTTTACCGGTGAAAGTATTTATCGCAATGATATATTTTTCCTCGTCGGTGTAATTTACTCTTTTTCCTAATAGAAAGAAAAGAAATATGTTTTGTGTCCATACATCTAAATCTAGTTCTGGCTCTCTTTTACAGTCTAGGTCTAGAAATTGGATTATTCTACAAGACTTTCATTGCACAAATTCAATGAAACCTTAAAACTCTATTAATCAATTTTCCATCTCCCATTATAATTATCTTCTTTATTAGATTAGATATGTTAATATGCATTTATGTATGACTTTTTGTTATTCTTTCTATCACTTTATAATATGCACAATTTTAGAGCATTTCATGATTCATTGGTTTCATTATTTTTTTCTTTAAAAAATCATTAAGTTTTGCTGCTACTTTTCGACACCCGTTAGTGGTACATAATTTTATTTTTTAGCTCTATTATTAGTAATTAGCAGAAATGATTCTCTCTTTAACCCATTGTTGTGAATCAAGTTGACTATGTAAGGGCCTATGGGCTACTAGAGACATTTATTTGGGATCCAGGCCCAATAACCAATTGTTAAAAAAGACTAGGTTTTAGAAGAACGGTTATGAAAATTATGTCGAAATTTTGGCTGTTAGTTATCTCTCATCCCCTTTCTCTGTTCTAGTATCTCATCCCCTTCTAGTTACCTTTTTCTATGTTAATCTATCTGTAATTAGTATGTTATTACTTTGTTGTGCGTATTATACGTTGTAATTTGTATCCAGTGAATATTATATATCAGTGTTTGTGTTGGGAATCGAGTTTGTTTCATTGGTGCTTTCATTCAGAGTTCTTTCTAATGGAGGACAAAAGAGTACTCAAGACTTTCGTTGGTGATTCAATTCGGGATTCACTACAAGAAATGAAGGATTCTATCTCTAAAGATCTCGCTGAATGTCGTTCGATGTTGCTGGAGGTTTTGGGGAAAAAGGATACGACCTCTTTTGAACCCGAAAACATAGTTATGAACGTCAAATTATGGCAGTTTCGAGGTGAGAATCCAGACGCTTGGATAGTTCAAGCAGAGCATTATTTTAATTGCTATAAAATTGAGGAAGATCAGAAGCTTAATGTGGCTTCGTTCTATTTTGATGGTGAGGCTTTGGAATGGTATGGATGGTTATTTCGCAACAATCAACTCGCTGGTTGGGACCATTTTGTGGACAAATTGATGATTCATTTTCTCTCCCGTACTAGAGACACATCTCGTAGGTTCTTACCCATTCCCAAGAACAAGAATGATAGGACGGTGGATTACTATCAAGAGGCTATTCCATTGTGGGGTAATATTACTAACTCATCCTCACCTCAGTCTTATCAATACAATCTCTTTGCTAAAAATTCTGAGGTAGACCACATGTTCGATAAAATTCTTGAGAAGGGTAATGATGTAGATTCTTCGGACAGTACCTCTGTTGAAGAAAATAATGACACTTTTGAAGAAATGGACAATATGCCATCACTAATAGTTTCTTCGGTGCTTAGTGGGTATAATCAAATGGTGACAGATACAGATTTGTCTAATAACATTACTAATGATGAAGCAATTTCAATTCCAAACAAAGTTCTCTCTGAACTGCCTCAGTATGGTCATGATCAATCAAGTCGAGAAAGTGGACAACATGTCCGTACCACTAGTTTGTTGTTGCGTGCTTTCGATGTGCACAATGATCACTCTATGAACACGTCCTTCCTATGCGAAGTTGTTGATGATGTTAAGCTCGTGAAAGCCATCACCGCAGTGAAGTATTGGAAGCTGGTAGTTGTTGGACCAGCGTACAGTGATTCTGAGCTCCTTGATGACTTGGGACTGTTTTCAATGGACGAGGTAACTGTTAAACATTTCAGAATTAGTACAACAAGGATGTTCGACGACACTCTTCGGTGGTCTTGTGTCATTGGTTGTGGACACAAGGTTGCAAGACCATTAATTGAAGATCCCAATTTTAGTTGGACTGTTATTTTTAAGGAATTTGTTTTGAAGGACATAGACAAAGAAGTGGATAAAGCATTTCCCTCCTTCACTAATATTTATTTGCTTGTAGATGTTATTTCTGCAATTGATTCTAACATTGTCTGGAATGCTCGAATTGCACTATTGGAGGCAGGAATGGTTGTGCATTCAGTACACCGACACCAACCACAAGATAACAAGCTAGTGCGAAATGGGAATAGCATGGAGGAATATATCAATAGATGTTGTGTAAGATTCTTTATACATTTTGTTGTGACATATAACATGGATGTTGTTTATATGATTCATCGAAGGGCAACTGGTGTGATTGATAATGGTGGTACCGTTAACTGGACGAGAACCTACCACATTGCTGGAGTAGCTAAGAGGATGAACACGTCTGTTTCTGTGGCAGCTGAAAGTAATGAGTTTACTTGTCTTATGTCACTGGATCGGCCAAAGGTGATGCCAACTTTTTTTCCAATTGATTTTTATATCCAAACAACTTCACTGGTCGATCGACTAATTAGGTACTGCTTCTTTTTTTTTAACTGATGAAGTGGTATTACATCTTAATTTTGTTCTCGATTACATCTCTGTCACTGTTCATGGTGTTATGAAGCACTTAAATCAGTTGAACCAAAGGTTGCCTTTGGTGCCAGTGAAATTTTACACAAATGCACCTTTCCAGGCATTATCCTACGAACATCACCTTAGAGGAGTATGTTGCAGTGACATTTGCCATTTTGGAGGTGTTATCGTTCTAGTTAAAGCTGGACAATATGTTCAAGAGACAACGGGAGTAGTGTCAATTTCCTTAATACTCTCCAAAGACAACATAACGTTACACCTCACATCAGAACATCTAGATCATTTTATTTGGCCTAGTTCATTGTTGGATGGAGGAATGTTGTTTCACTTTACACTTGTGACATTGAAGTGTGTGGAAACTGCCACTCGTCAAATAATTGAGAGAGTTTTGGATGGATTTCATGACTTGAACCTTGAGGACAAGGTTTCCTTTTGAGGGATGGAGTATTGTTGTGAATCAAGTTGACTCTGTAAGGGCCTATGGGCTATTAGAGACTTTTATTTGGGATCCAGGCCCAATAACCATTTGTTAAAAAGACTAGGTGTTAGAAGAACGGTTATGAAAATTATGTCGAAGCTTTGGCTGTCAGTTATCTCTCATCCCCTTTCTCTGTTCTAGTATCTCATCCCCTTCTAGTTACTTTCTTCTATGTTAATCTATTTGTAATTAGTATGTTATTACTTTGTTGTGCGTATTATACGTTGTAATTTGTATCCAGTGAATATTATATATCAGTGTTTGTGTTGGGAATCGAGTTTGTTTCACCCATGATATTTGAGTTTTCATTTTGCTATATTTTTTGTTAGCACAACTATATTACTTTACTCCTAATTAGAAGTGAGACTTTAGAAGGACGAACACATGCACCAACTATTGTACTACGTGCTTTATTGATTTTCTATTATTTAGAAGTGGAGTGTATCTCATTGAGGATTGGCACGTGTACTTCATCTTTACTTTATCAAACGACATGTATTCATATTCATATTTAGACTACATATCTATTAGTATGTGACTTTTAGAATTAATTTTTTTATTTACATTCTGTGGAATTAGTTCTTCCACACTTGCATTTGAAGTAGATGGGCAATAGTTAAAGTAAGTTCCTATCGTGCACAACTCTCCAAATCCGAACTTGATCATATAAATTGGGACGGAGTAATACATATATAGATGTTATCTTTCGTCTTTCTCTTCAAGTTTTCTCTGCAAATTATTTACATGCATGTGGTTATACAAACTATTCTAGGAAGCACACTGGATTTACCATGAGAAGCAAAAATAGTACTCCACTTTGTAATGACAAGGAATAACTTACCTGCAGTATATATATGTGTTTGATGATATGCCTAAATTCATCCCATAGGTATTGTATAATTAAAATTCGATCAACCAACAATTAAAGGTCCATTCTTATCATCTTCTTGGAAATGTTGTCGTGTGGGAAACAAATCATGCATGATGACAAAATACATAGGTTCGAAGAGGTAGCAATATAATGGTGTTGAGCATATGAATATCCGGACCATCTCTAGGGTAACAAGTAAGATTTTCTACTTGCTTTGGATATTGTATCGGTAATCTTATTGTTTACTCTGCATCACCTCTGACCCTGCAGATAAAAATTCAAGGCTATTATAATATTTTCAGAGCATTTGACTCTCTTGTTAATTGATAATACACATGCATGTGCTATATGACTATTTTGTGTGTATATTTCTTACCAGTCAATCGTATTATGAAGAAATAAATCAACTTATAGAACGGTTCTCTAAAGAAAATTTATGCAGCCACTAATGCGTTAATTTTTTAGCGAGAAAATGGTCAAAAGCCTTTTTAATCTATATTCGAATTTCCAACTACACACTTTAACTTTACAAGAGTCTTATTACCCACCTGAACTGTTCAAAACTGTAATAATTACACCCTTAAAAAGCCACAACCACATCTATCTTGGCATGTGAACTTCACACGTTTGACAAGTGGAAATTGATTATTTTTTTCAATTTTTTTTATAATTCTTTTCCACTTTCTCCTATACTCTCTCAATTTCTTCAAATTCCTAAAGTAAATTCTTCCCCAATTCTTTCAAATTCCTATTGAATTGTGAGGAACAAAGATAAATATTGATAACAAGAGCTTGTCAAGCAATATTCGAGTTTTACTTGTCAGAGAACCTTGAAAAACAAACTAAAAGGATCCGTGCTGTTGAAGTATGAAGATATTTGAAGTATGCAGCAATGAATAACAAGAATGTATCTAGTCCATAAAGAGTCCAGATTCAATACGATAGTGTACTAGTTCATAGAAGAGTCTAGATTCATGAGTTAGTTACAGTTAGTTATACTAGTACTGTTACATCGAGTCATTTAGTGTGTGCAGAGTTATTGTTAGTAGTGGATCAGGAAGATATTTTCAGTAGTATTAAAGAGATGAGAAATACTATAAATTGATGATTGATTGTAAAGATCTGACAGATGAAAATTCTCTTTCTAATGAATTCATTCTTTTCTCTCTAAATCTCAGTCTGCAAAAGATCTGTAGATGCTTCCTTTGAGTTCCTTAGTCTAGTTTTCACATGGTATCAAAGCCTCGTTACTAAAGCTCGATAATGGCACCTATTAAGATCGATCAAAATGATCCTCTTTACATTGGTCCATCGGATGCTTCTGGTGCAGCTCTAATCCCAATCAAACTGATTGGATCTGAAAATTATGGAATTTGGAGCAGGTCGATGAGAATTGCTCTGTTGGGAAAGAGGAAGTATGGCTTTGTGACAGGTGCGTGTAGCAGATCGATTTACAGAGATGAACTTCATGAACAATGGGAAACTTGTAATGCCATTGTGCTGTCGTGGTTAATGAGTACAGTCAGTGAAGAGCTGCTTAGTGGAATTGTTTATGCTACGAGTGCATTTGCAGTATGGGAGGACTTGAAGGAGAGGTTTGACAAGGTGAACAGAATGCGAATCTACCAATTACACAGAGAGATCAATTCACTGGTGCAAGGTACTGATTCTGTTTCACTATACTTTACTAAGCTAAAAAACTTATGGGGAGAGTATGATGCTGTGATACCAGCACCAAGTTGTGTTTGCCCTGTAACATCCGACAAATTGAAATAACTAAGAAGAGGCTTAAAATTTGAAAATTTTCATTTTGGAAAGGATTTTAAAATCTGGAAAAAAAAAATTTGGCTAAGTATGGAAAAGGTGAGTTTTTGGCCAACTTTGAGCAGTCATAACTTCCAGCTCAGGATGAGTTAGGAGTAGTTCCAGTTATGGTTTTGAAGCTTGTGGAATGATCTTTCCAACGCCGCCGAGTTTGCTCAATTCCGAGTTCGTATGAGCGAGTTATGGCCCTTTGAAAGTTGGGCAGTTGACAAGAAAATCCGTCCGGGAATCATTAAGGGCATTTTGGTCTTTTCCCTAGCTATTTCTTTTGAGGATATATTGTTGTATAGGGCTGATCTTTGGATCATTTTGTTCCATTTTAAGAGAGTGAAGGTTAGGGTTCTTGAGAGTGAAGAAGAGAAGAAAGAGAAGAAGAAGAGAAGAAGGAGAAGAAGAAGAGGAAAAATCGAGGAGATCATCGTGGATTTTCGTCGGGGGTGATCCCTACCAAGGTATGTGAGTTCTTTGTGTGGGTTGATCCTTTCCCCCACACACCAAGCTCATTTTTATGA